ACAGGAAGCATTTAGTAATGGGCATGAAAGGTTTTAATTCAATACAGACAGGTTGGAGAGCCAGAATATCTGGGATGACCATCTGCGGTCGCAAAAACAGGCTCTAGTATTTCAAATGAGCCGAAGCTTGCAAAGTGTTCATGTAGAAAACCAGCTCAATGAGCATCGGATAATGTTCAAGATGAAGAAGGTATAAAACAGGCTATTACAGGTGCAGTAGGTATTACCTGATACTGATCCAGATTAAAATCTATCTTCCATTCCTTAGAACATCCAGTTAAATGGATCCAGATTTCTCTGGAGCTTACTACCTGGAATCATCTTAGCAAAGGTGATGAGCTTAATTGAAAATATATTGCAAATAGCACTTACTTTCAAGTCTTTGGCAATAAAATGGGCAGAAGCTTTAAAAAACTCCCTCTCATAATCCACTAATTGCTTCCCCAATGCGTACTTCACTTTCTGCTTTCTAATCCCTAGATAAATTTTCAATGCAGACAGTCGGAATTGGCAATTCTGAATCTTGGCCCCTTTTAAAGATCTCACTTAATGTTTTGCTAAACAGTTTCCAAAAAATCCATTCCTGTTCTTGCCAACTGCACAAACTTTATTTATAAATGAAATATTTGAGAAGTTCTATAGAAATAGATAGCATTTTGTTAAATTTACTTCAAAATTTCAAGTCGGGAGGACAAGCTAGAAGGACAAATAAAACCTGGAATTCAAAAGCAAGGGAGACAGATGTTGTACATAAGCAGGTGCAGTTGTGCAATTGCAATCCTGCATAATGCCAGGGATTACAGTAGAGGGACTTGGTTGAATCTGAACCCATTCAAGGCTCTTCCTTATTTGGAGTTCATCAAATTCCACCAATTGCGAAAAGCAAAGCTGCTTCGCACTTATTAACGAGGAATGAATTCCTCCATGAAGCGTACTCTCCATAAAAGCAAAATGTTTATACTCACAAAATAAACAAGAAAAGCAGAAAGCATATCCATCATGTAGATATAATTTTAATTTGGTATTACCTGCCTTTGTGTAATATTGTTCAATTATTACCATTTATATTAGCCCTAAAATAGGATCTCTCACTATAATGCTTCTCATGGAATGCAGTTTTGATTTGGCAGGCCTTTTCCAAACCTTTCAAGTATTGAGAATTACTGTGGAGGAAGAAATGGAGACTAGAGAATGCAGACAAATAGATTTTGATGTTTTTAAAGCAGTTCACATAAGGGGAAGTTCAGGTGGTCTTACAGATTATAAAAAGGTGGATAAATTTCTGGGACTTGATTTAATGTATCCCAGATAGCTGTAGGAAGTAAGGGAAGAAATTGCAAGACCCCTCTCAGAAATATTTGCATCATCTTTAACTACGGGTGAGGTGCCCGACGACTGGAGGGTGGCTAATGTTGTATCTTTGTTTAAGAAATGTTGTAAGGAGAAACCAGGGAACCATAGACCTGCGAGAGTTCGACTGTGGTTGTGGGTAAATTGTTGGAGGTGATTATAAAAAGGTAGGATTTATGGACATTTAGAGAGGTAAAAACTGATTGATAGACAGCATGGTTTTGTGTGAGAAAAATCGTGTCTCACAAACTTGATCGGGTTTTTTGAAGAAGTTACCAAAAAGGTTAATGAGGGCAGAACAGTAGATATTGCTTACTTGGGACTTCGGTAAAGCCTTTGACAAGGTTCCACATGGTAGACTAATTGGTAAATTAGGTCACATGGAATTTAGGGTGAGCTTACATAATTGGCTTAACAGCAGATAACGGAGTGGTGGTGGAGGATTGCTTTTCAGATTCGAGGCGTGTCACTAGCCATGTTCCACCGGGATTGGCTTTTGTGGACGACACCAAAATTGCTGGCACAGTAGACAGTGAAGAACATTTTCTCAGATTACATCGGGATCTTGATCAAATGAGTCAATGGGCTGAAAAATGGCAGGTGGAGTTCAATCTGGTTAAATGCAAGGTATTGCACTTTAGTGCAACAAACAAGGGGTAGGGCTTATACAGTTAATGGTAGGGCCTTGTACAGTGTTGTAGAATAGAAGGACCTAGGAGCTCAGGTACATAATTCTTTGAAGTTTGCGTCACACATAGACAGCGTGGTTAAAAAGCTGTCTGGCACATTTGCCTTCATTGTTCAGTCCTATGAGTATAGGAGTTGGGACATTATGTTGAGGTTGTACAGTACATTGGTGAGGCCTCTTCTGGAATACTGTGTCCAGTTCTGGTCACCCAGTTATAAGAAGGATATTATCAAGCTGTTTAGGGTTCAAGAGAAATTTAGCAGGATACTGACAGGCATGGAAGATTGGAGTTATAAAGAAGGGCTAGACAGGCTGGACCTTTTTCAGTGGAGCATAGGAGGTTGACAGGCAACCTTATAGAAGTTTATATAATAATGAGGGGTATTGATAGAGTTAATCGTAGTTGTCTTTCCCTCAGATGGGGGATTTCAAGACTAGGGGGAATATTTTTTTAAGGTGAGATGAGAGACATTTAAAAAAAGACATGGGGGCAAATTTTATTTTTTTGTTTAAAAACACAGAGGGTGGTTTGCATGTGGAATAAGCTTCCTGAGGAAGTGGTGAATGTGGGTACATTTGCAACATTTAAAAGATATTTGCATAAGTACATGAATAGGGAAGGTTTGGAGGGATATGGGCCAGGAGCAGGCAGGTGGGGCTAATTTAGTTTAGGATTATGTTCACACATACTGGTTGGACCTAAGGGTCTGATTCCATGCTTTATGACTCTATATGGTGTTGTTTTCTCCATTATTCCAAAGTTGCCTTTCAAGATCTAATGCGTATCAGTTGCTGAATTCAGAATAATTTTAACTTTGGATCTGTACATACAATCCGGAAATTTAGGCCTATATGGTCAATACCTCTGGGAATCACTATTCTAAATCAACACTTGGGCACTACTTTTTCCTGTTTGATCATTGAGACTTCTGCAGATGAGACAGCCATAATGCTATGTTTTGCAGTTCTTGCAACTACTACACAGCTAAAATATACCCCACTCTCTTTCACCCAATACTGAAAAAACAAGGACAAAAAAATGCCTGGGACTTATTAGACAAACATTTTTAATGTTATCAGTTTAATTTATTTGGTCTCATAATCAGACATATTTCATGACTAACTGGGGAATAGGAATTTATTTAGAATGCCTGTAAAAACATAAAAGATCGAAATTCTTAAATACAGCAATTTGAAATTTCTCAATTCCTACACTCAAACTTAAAAAAAAATTAGCACTGTTATACCAGTAGAGGAGAAATACTCTGTCAATGATTGAATATTTGTACATTGCTGAAAAAAGACAATTAGTTGAAGCTTTTCATATCAAGAAAATTCACAAGAATACAGGTTTAAGGGGAAAACCAACTAAATGAAAGGAGACCACTAACTGGTTTCCAAATTGACTTCTGTTTCATTAAATATATTGATATGATAAATGCATCAGCTATTGATGACTGACAGTTAACTGCCAAGCTTGTTTACATTTTAATCAGTCAGGTTGACTCCAATTAGTCAAAGCATCCCCCTAAAAAAATTACCTAGTGAACTTCTGTCACCTATTTTGTTGAGCCAAAACAGGCACACATGTACTTGTGCTATTTCTTTCTGCAAAGGACAGGGCCCAGTCTGGTCATAGAGTCATACAGCACAGAACAGACTGTTCAGTCCAACCAGTCCATACTGAACATAGTCCCAAACTAAACTAGTCCCACCTGCCTGTTCCTGGCCTGTATCCCTCCAAACCTTTCATGTACTTATCCAAATGTCTTTTGGACGTTGTAATTGTACCCACATCCACCACATCCTCAGGAAGTTCATTCAATACACAAACCACCCTCTGTGTAAAAAATTTTCCCCTCATGTCTTTTTCAAGTCTCTCTCCTCTCACTTTAAAAATGTGCCACCCAGTATTGAAATATTCCATCCCAGGGAAAAGACAACTACCATTAACTCCATCTATATCCCTCATTATTTTATAAACTTCTACAAGGTCACCTCTCAACCTCTTACTCTCCAGTGAAAAAAGTCCCAGCCTATCCAGCCTTTCCTCATAACTCAAACCCTTCACTCCCAGCAACATCCTGGTAAATCTCTTCTGAACCCTCTCCAGCTTGATAATATCCTTCCTTTAACTGGGCGACCAGAACTGGATACATACTTCAGATGGGGCCTAAGGTAATATGTAGTTTCCAGTATATGCAAGTGCACCACACTGAGTCCCACTGAAAACATTAAAAATCAGGTATCAGTGCAATTCTGCATACTCAGGATTATCCAACTAATGTTGTCCACTCACAGAATTACATTCAACGTTGAACACTCAAGAATTTTGCAGCCTGATTGGGTATGGTCAGTATCTTGCTCGTTCTCAGGGCAATGATTAGACTAATCAGAGTCATGGAGTCATACAGCATGGAAACAGACCCTTCGGTCCTACCATGCCAACTAAGTTTCCCAAACTAAACTACTCCCACTTGTCTGCATTTAGCCCATATCCCTCTAAATCTTTTCTGTTCACCTGCCTATCCAAAAGTCTTGAAATGTTGTAACTGTGCCTGCATCTACCATTTTGTCTGGCAGTTCATTCTGCACATGAACCACCCTCTGTATGAGAAGGTTCCTCCTCATGTCCCTCTTAAATCTTTCTCCTCTCACCTTAAAAATATGCCCCCTAGTTTTGAACTCACCCATCCTAGGGAAAAGATCTTTGCTATTCACTTTATCTATGCCCCTCATGATTTAATAAACCTCTATATAAAGGCTACCCGTTAACCTCCGAAGCTGCAATGAAAAACATCCCAGCCTATCCTTATAACTCAAACCCTCCAGTCCCAGGAACATCCTGGTAAATCTTTTTTGAACCCTCTCCAATTTAATAATATCCTGCCTATAGCAGGGTGACCAGAACTGTGCACAGTATTCTAAAAAAGTGATCTCAGTCAATAGGGCTGGTTTAAAACATAAACAAAGCCTGACAGTTAACTGTCAATTGCTGTTAACTCCTGTAGTTTCCATTGTGATGCCTCTACAATCAGCATCCACTTATCAACCAATGTTGGTTTGCCCTTCAAACTGCTATTCTGGCAAATTGTCCTGACGCAAGCAAGAAAAAAAGCTTTGACAAAAATGTGTCCGTTTCAATGGTATCAAGTTCTGGATAATCAAAATGACTAGTTGAATATTTCTAAAGATTAACATTTTTATATTTTTGCAAGACACTGAGCATCAGAATCATCTTGGTGGACAGGAGTATGGCAAGACAGACAAGAAAGCAGTGGCCAATTATAACTAATCCAGTTTATCTAAACAATCCCAGATTTAAAGAGCAAATATATTCCATACTGAATAGTTTAATGTCTCAAAATAGACTTGGATGTAGTACCCACAACCAAAAATTAATAGTATTACTTTCTGATAAAGGCAAACTGTGCATTGCCCACTAGAAGTAATCCTCAAGCTTTACTGCTGTGGGAGACACATACCTCCACTACATACTGTGGTGTCCCTTCTCCTTGATGATTTGGTGAAGAAGAGTTACTGCAAAACAATAGCATTTATGAGTTGCAGTTTCAACTTCACTTATTTTAAATAAGGAAAAATATCTTACTACTGTAAATCTGTATTGCCCAAGTCCTGAATATAAATTGACTTTTGTTAAACTATCAGGACAGATGCTTAATTTTACCAAGTTTTAATGCAAATACTTTAAACTGAAATCAATATCACGTTACCTGTCAGGAACGCTGTAAGTACTGACTTGTCCAGAAGTAAATGCTGGAGTGGTAGAAGGACTGTTGTTTACATAGGCATTATCTGGCCAAGGAGAGCACTGTAGTAATTTAAAAAGAGACAAAGGATTAGGACTTCAAATTTAAAATCAAAACATGTGGAAAAAGAATTCCCTTTTAGGTACAAATGAGATGTGCAATTATGCATGAGCAGGGGGTGGAAAGCAGAACTAAGAACTGAATATATTTTGACATGCAAATGACAAATCACTAACAATAGCCAAGTGAATGAAGCAAATGGTCTGTTTTTGGAGGCACCACGAAAAATTGCGTGTATAATTAAAAAATGAATTATATAAGCAAAAGGGGAAAATTTCAAATTAAGTGTTAACAAAATAAAAAAAAAAATGCTGTGAAGTAGAATACATGTAATAACATGCCCCATAATGGTTGTGCTGCATTATCTTAATTTCAATACAGGTCTTGGTTCAAATATGTAAACGAGCTTCAAAAGGTAATGAAAACACTATTGATAGTTAAGTTTCTGGGTCATACAACTGGGTGACATTCTTTAACACAGAATGATTACTTTAAATTCTTCTCTACACCACTGTACAGTAAACTATAAACAAAAGTTTAGTTAGGATGTTAAATACGCTGTTTTGCATTATACTTATTCAATTTCTTTAGATCATTGAACCGATTATAAACCATACTAAATGGATCTACAAAAAAAAATTAAAAACTTTAATACAAATATTAACTTTGTTTGGAAAAGAAAAAATTTCCACTGTGGAACAGCAGTAAAATGATATGGATCCACTGGCAATGTTATAGATTTAGTTAAATTAGTGACTAACATGAAACTAGGCAACATAAATCATTCAAATTGAAAGTTAGTCAAGACCAAATTCCCAACTTACAAAGGACTCAAAAATGGGAAGAGTGAAGCTAACTTTCAACTGGTGAGAATTCAGCAGTTTCCATCAGCACAATTCCACAACTTAGAACCAAATGTCATTTCCCACAAAGTTGCCACACTGCTCAGAAACAATGAGGATAACTGTTCTAACATTGGGATCAGAAGAAATTATAACAAAGAATACGCCATACTCTTTGGATATTACCTAGAGTCGTGCAAAAAAACTAATCAGCTTTGCAGCACCTCGACCTCCCGATGTGAGTATACAAAAAAAAAAATCAATGAGTTGAATTGCATTAAAGTCGCGTGTATGTTCGCTTTCAGATACTGAAAACGTATACACATTAATACCTCCTCACATGCAAAAGCAAAAACATTTCAAAGTCAGAGAATTACTTTCCAATTCCTCACTGTCATGTATGCAAATATGGCAGCCCATTAGGTGCACAGCAAGATTTGCAGATAGCAAAAATCAATTAACTGGTTTTATTTTTAGTGTTGAAGGAGGAACATTAGCCAGGCTAAGAGAACTCCTGTCTCTTTATAAAGTTTAATATTCCCCTAAATAGTGTATTAGAAAATGTCAAACCATGGTAACGAGCACTTTAAGCGAGCATGGAACTCTCAACATCTGACAGAAAAAAGAACTACCAACTCAGATCATGAATAACAGGCAGAAAATCTGCAATTTTTTGTTTAAAATGAATACAAAAAGACTTCATACTCCACAAAGCATTTTGGTCAGGCCAAACAGTGCTCAGCACTGTACAAAACAGTTTTTCAAGAAAACCCATTAACAGGCTCGACTTGATTTTGTTTTCACAAGTTACAAATGACAGAAGTATGGGGATGAAAGTAACTGTGTTTCTCTTTTTCCCCCCAATTGATCTGGTACTTTGTTTTTTTTAACCTTTCTCATTTTACTGTCAGCTCCATGAGTAACAAAGATGATCCATAAACTGTCAATGAGAGAAACTTGTGCAGGGTGAAATTATCTTACCGAAAACTTTCCCTCCAGCTTTAAAATCAACCAAAAGATACATCAAAATAGATTGCGAAACCCTGAATTAAAGATATTTCAGTTGGCTTGATGTTTTCCTTACTTTCATCTCCATGAATAATTATTGGGATTGTATTTTCTAGACTGAAAATTATAAAAAACACTTGGGAAAATATTGAATTGTGCGAACAGTTTTGTGCAGATTTTCATTGGTTTTAGTTGCATTTTCATTCTATCAAAAATTGAAAGATAAGATAATGCAGCTTGAAATGGAAGGCTGACTATGTAAAATACTTTAATTGAAAAAATTTAAAAGAAAAATGATTAAACCCATCCGGAATTTGACATTGGAAACAAAAATCTTGGTTCTACATAGGAAATCCTCAACTCTCTCTATCTCTCTCTCTCTCTCTCTCTGTCTCCAGGTCACCTGCTATATTAACCATGCCAAAGCATATCCATTTCAAAAGCCACTTAAAGCTGGCCTTGGTGATAGCCAAAATTTGATGCTTCTCTCATACAGATTGGCCCAAATCTTGCTTTAAAATAATGCTGCGCTTACAAGGTACATTATTATTAAGCACAAATCTGCCTGCAAGTTCAGCCAGGAGTTGTGCGTGGGCAAATCAATACACACACTTCATTTGCTTTGCCTTCCCCATCACGACCTGGCTATATTTCAATAAGAATTATCTATTTAACAAAAAGTTACTGCCCATACTTTACTGAGCAAGTACCCTTTTAACATAGTACGTGTTAATGCAATACCACAACACGTTACTGGGCCTAAAAATGAAGCAAAATGCTCTGTTTCAGCAAGAAATGGACCAGTGAGGCAAAACTTGCTGTCAGAGAAACAGAAAGATCATGGCACTTGGTATCTATTTGCAAGTGGCACAGCAACTTCAGGCAAGTAACAGTCATATAAAAAGTTGCCATGCAAATTGCACAACTCTGCCATTGGCTTTATTGAAAGAAAAGGCTTCATTTTCCCATCAAACTTACCACAGAATTGTACTTTGCCTTTATGAATAGTCTCCTTTCAAAGATGTGGCAAGAGTGAGCGATTGCTAATGAACCAAAAATTAAGCATCAAGTGCGGAATTTCACTTTTTCAGTTTTTGTATCTTTCAGAGAGATTTTAGAAGTTTTTAGAAAGTCTATTTTTCTATGTTTCCTTCGTCTCTTTGCCCCTTCACCAACAAATCTAAATCCAATCCCTTCATCCTTCATTTTATTTTCCTACAGTATCTGACTTGGCTTTGAATTTGTCCCTTTCAATGCCCCTTTCCTGTTAGTCCTTGATGTTTTATTTCAAAATGATCAAATCTCACTCATTAAGGAGATACCCTGTCATATGTCCTTTTTGCATCTCTCATTCTCCTTTCCCTCACTGTACCATCACCACTTGCATTTTCAGCAATATTCTTGGCAAAAAATATTGAAGACTGCCAAATGAAATCTAACTAACAGCAAACATAATTAGACATCATGCATCAGCAAATTCTTATCTAGCATTTCCTAGACTTCATGAGCTCAAACAACTAGTTTCAAGAAGCCAGCTTGCAGGGTCAGAGACATTTCAAGATTCTGCAAGCTGGAAGAAAAACTGAATTTCATAGAATCCCTACAAAGCAGATAGAGGCCATTCAGCCCATCAATTTCTCACCGACCCTCTGTAGAATATCCCATCCAGACCCGCCTCCCCTTCCCAATCCTTTCCCTGTTATTCTGTATTTACCATGGCTAATCCACCTAGCCTGCGCATCCCTGGGGCAATCTACCATGGCCACTGCACATCTTTGGACGGTCGGAGAAAACTGGCACACTCGGCAGAAACCCAAAATGGCAAACATATTTAGCAATATTATTATTTTCTTCCATTATAAACTACCAAAAAAAAAAGACACTTTTCCCTTTAAGTAACTGTCTTGTTCTCAATTTTGAAAAACCCATTTAAGTGTCATATAATGATCTCATGCTAATGAAATGTCAATTTGAACTGTCTTAAGTTAACATTGCTAGGTTTCCCATGAATTTTAGCCAGGACAAGCAAGCATGGAGTTCCTAGATTTTAAAAAACCCTCTCTTCCAAATCAGCAATGACTGGAGGTCAAGTAAAAACATTAAAGGCAAATTTTAGACAAAGGGCAGTATTACTCACTCCGAGTTAGCTGGAGAAGATTCAGCCTGTGTTGTTCAAGACTAAAGTCATTTCCAAGAAAGGTTCCCTGAAGGACTTCAGTGAATCAGCTAGGTTAACCAGCAGCTTTCATGGTCGTTTTTGGTGATACCTTTGATGAATTCAGTTTCAAAATTTCCTACTTTGGATTTTGAATTCATGACTTCTGGGTGCAAGACCAGCACCATAATCATCAAGCTACCATACACTCCACCCTGACCCCTCAGTCTCTCTGTTTAAAATGATGCAACTGCAACAAAAGGTGGCTGCTGTTGAAGACTAAGTATTAAAGAAGTGCTTTGTGTGTTAAAGAAAGCGATTTGAAACCTGGAGTTTGCATTCCAGTGAGATCTGAATTCTCCGTGAAAAGACAGCAATGAGCTGTACATACACACAATAAATTAAAGTGCACCCTTCCAAAAAATGCATATACAAATACTACACAGCTCTGCTCAAGGTATACTTGAGCTAGCCTGGGGAAGAATGGATTATAGCTTTTGAAAGGCAGGAAAGGGGAAGAATGCGAGTTGACAAAAGACAAAACAAAAAATAAAAAAAAACAAACACAGACCAAGTAGAACACATTATGAACAATGAAATAAGTTTCAATTACTCTACTATCCACTTGTTATATTATGCAAAATGTCTCACTGCTTTAGGCCACAAAAACCAATGTGCAAAATATATGAATCTCAGCTAATGGGAGTTTTTTTTCCAGCAAAATATTTGTTCAATATTGAACAATTCATAGTAACTTTCAGCTAAGACCTCACATCAGCACTTTCCCATGAGCATTCCATCGCAAACTGCTTTTGAGCATGTAAAATATTAAATGACTAAAATTCAAAAGCAATATGCTAGATAAATATATTTTTGTGGCCTTTGAGGAATTAAGAGCTTCTGTATCAAGTGTTAGATTTAGGAGGGTGAGGCCTGAAAGGGGAGTTGAAAGTTTTGCAGAAAAATCCAAACTAAGTACCTTCACAGGTATGTGTTACATGTAGATAAAAGCTAATCCTATATCTAACACTTTGATTGTATTCTTGCACAAGCGGTCTTGTACAACGAAAAGGTAAGCAGAAGTCCTTACACTGCCTCGCTTTGCCAGAGAATCACCGCAGTCTGCTGGCAAAGTCCGCTTGGTGGACTTTTTCTGCTCATGTTCAAGTGCATCTTCAATAATAGGCTCAAGTCTCATCTGGACAGACACCAAAGACTAGGATCAATTTATACAGTAGATCATGAAATCATGAGCACAACACCTAGCAGTGTAAGCATTTCTTTAACATGAACCATTTTTTTTTTTTCAGAAATTCAACTACAAAATGTGTAAAACTGAATCCATCAAGACCTTCAATTTACTTTTCAGATGCCATTATCCAAATAAATATTTGCGGTTCTCCAATAACTTAGAGATACGACTAACTCAGAATTCTAGCATGTGCTTTTTTTTTGCATCTGATTTGTTTTTGACATAGTTCAATGTAAAGGTAGTTGAAAACAAAACATCCCAAGCATTCACACTTCAGGCATAAGTATTTGACTTCATTATTTTAGTTAGACTTTAATAAAAATTGACATTTGGGCTTTAAAAGCATTAGAAAGACTTTAAGAATGGATGATTTAACTTTGATTGCAATGCTTATTTGTTCCAGTACAGTTCAAAATCTTTTTCGCCAGCGTTAACAAGCGAGATTCTATGATCAATGGAGTAGCTTCACAAATCAGAGATAAAAAGCATATTTTCTTCAACTTTCAATTAACACTGAGTTCAGTGAATCTTTGCTGACTTGCAGAAAACACCTATCCTTCAGAGTATAGTACAGATACAGCAACATTATTAAATTTTTCATTGGTCCAAGTTTGCCTTAGAATTGCCTCCACTTTTGCCTTTAAAATTAGTTGTAAATTCTGCAAAAGATTCTCTGACCTTCCAGATCATTCTCCACCAAAAAAAAAAAAAATCATTTGGCCAGGGAGAAATGAGACCAAGTCTTGAAAGTTTTAAGTGGCCACTGAAGCCGGATATCCAGCCCAATAAGCAGGCACAGTTGAACTAGAATGTGTGAAGTGTCAGTTTTTCTTTCCTTAAAGCCCTTCTCTTGGATCCAATCCATCCATAAGCCTAAATTAACTAACATACTTCAATGTACTTGTTAAGGTCAGAGCTCTCTGCTTGAGCCCAATCTAGTTTGGAGACCAAGTATTATTGGTATCTGAGCTACTCAGACTCAAATTGGGCATTTTCACTGCTTTTTGACATTATACTTTCTACAGAGACACTTTTTGCCATTTAGCCAGAAAAATATATAGTGGAACAGTGTAAAAAAGGGATATTTAACATGGCTGCAAGTTGGCATCCCAAATATAAAGAGGAAGTGGGGAAGCGTGTACTACCAAAATCTTAAAACAGGCCAATAAAAATGGCACAGGACGTAAAATGAATAAATCTGGTTCTACGATTAAACATTTCAAAAACCTTGTAGCACATGCTTTGTCCAGCCCATTGTGGTGCTCATTACTTGATTCTTCAAAATAACAATGATTCCAAATGAACTATACAGTCAAAGTTACTAGCATATACTTTTTCAAAACAGATTATATCACTATATCACTAGCAATGCCCTGGAATTCCTTGAGACTAAGTGTTCTCCTGTAAATTAGAAATCAAAACCAGAAAGGACTCCAAGATTCAAAACTCTTGGTTTTAAAACAACATACTTATAAAGACCCTGCAGCTTAAATTAACCTTGAATCAATTATGTGCCATAATATTCAGATTTTTATTAACAACACAAGATGATCCAATACTATCAAAAAAATCAACAATCAAGTAATCAAAGGACAAAACAATAAAGTATCTCACACATTACATTGCACTGAACCACTATGAACCTGCTTGCACATACTGGAATATTAACTATCATCTTAACCCATCTGATCAAATTCTTGAGCAGGAAGTTATGCCACTCTTGAAAAAGTACAGCATCTTACATGGAGTGACCTCACTGTGCTTGCAAAGGTTTGATTATGCGAAAGCATCTTTGTACAAACTTAACTGCTTCTCCCTCTCCAAAAGCTTTGATTTAAAAAAAAACTCTTTAAATTCAAAGCCAATTACTTGTACCGTGAAAATGTAAACTTCAGTGCCTTCCAGGAACTACTTTACAACAAACCAAAAATGATTCAAACTTCTTTCAATTCTGGGGTGACTTGTAGTATCTACTTGTACAGCGCTTTCCATATTATAAATACTTCTGCAACACTGTAATGTCATCTTAAAACTAATCAATTTTATAGATAACCACAGAGGAGGCAGCAATACATATTTTTAGCAATGCAGGTCACACATATTTTTGTACCAAGAACAGTCAGTTATAACTTTCAATTGTAACAAGCCTGACTTTTCTACTCTGAAACACAGAGCCGGCTTTCAAGGTTCTTTGCATGTAGATTGTAATAGATTTCAAGAAAGAAAAAAAAGTGAAGATAATTATGGCATAATTAGCAAGCATGACAAAGACAGGACATGCAAGAATAACTTAAATTGAATGATCAAATTAAAGTAAGAATGTGATGAATACAAATGAAAGGGAAATCAACTGATTAAGTTTGTTACAAATATTTACTGATGATCTAAAATACACTACATTTGAGTTTTGAGTATGCTTTTGAAAAACAGGTTCTACAATAATGTACCAGCATACTATAATTGAGTATAATTACCAAATGCAGTAATAACTTAAGTTATTGATCAGATGATTAACAGAACGGTGATAAACAGCAGGGGCAAAGCTATGATTATGATTATTAATGTCCATATAAATTTAGGGTAATTGTTGTTGGAACAGAATTAAAAGTACACAATTAACGAAGGTCCATACAGCAACGTATGAAAGTAGAGAGACTAGAGTACTATTATTGACAGTTCATTCAAATACCCTGTCAACGCAAAGTTGTTATCAAAGTTAATTAGACAGCAGACTACAACTCAGGACATTTTCCTGTGAGTCAAAGTAAAATTATTTTAAACCCATACATCTCAACAATAACACTGTGCAAGACAGGATCCCAGAAATGGTCACCTCACCTTGCAACATAAATTATCAACAAACTGAAAACAAGTTCAGAAAAGAAGGACAACTGCTTGAATGAATGCTCAAAGTGGTGAACAGACTTATACCCAAACAATACTATATAAAATGCGAAGTTAAATACAACGCTTTGCATTATGCCTGAGCCAGTATTGCAATTTAGATTTTAAAGAATGTGCAAATTCATGAATGAAGCACTTCCTTTTCTAAAAATATGCCCACCTTGTCTGGAAAGGATTAAAAATGTCAACCTTGGGTGAACAAAAGGAACAGCTATGGTTGTAAGCTGGTGGGAAGGGAGAATATCTGCTAAACAGCACAGCATGTATAAGAGCAGACTCAGCAGCAAAGCCCTCTAGGATAGAATGGTCTAAATAAGAGGCATTGTTCAAGTGTCTGTTCTTCAGACAAAGTACAGAGACGGCCTGTGATCCAGGATTTGTATTGATTTCCACCTGCAGAAAAAGGTGGAAATTGACAAAAACGGCTCTCAGAAAATAACTTATTTTTACAAGGGACAAAACAGTTGGTACTTTAAATATCCAACTAGCTACGAAATAAAAGGCACAGAAAGGCTATTTAGCAGAACATGCACAGGGTACAAGATGGAAAATAATAGGTCTAAAGGCTTCAAAAGGGATTAAAAAAATAAAATATTGTCACAATACTGAATGCAGGACAGGAGGAGTTCCGAAAAAAAAACATAGCTCAAACGTTGTTACAAAATGATCCTGGTAAACGTTTAGTCAAAACTTGGATAGAAAACCCTCTGGGTATGCAGAAAAAGTCAACTACTTCCATGTAGCAATTGTTTACGTAGAAGCAATTATGCAATTCTAAACCACATGATTTGACATAAAAGGGAGTATATTGTAAAGGAAGAAGGAAAAGTGAAAGATGCTGCAATTTTGCACATACTTTTAATATCCTGGAGAACTTTTACTGTAGGACAAGAGTTCACTAATGGGTGAATTGCATATGCTCTTTGAAAAATGCAAGTCTGAATGATTCAATGGCTTTCATTGTCTCCCTACTTTAATCAGTTATTTCCCATCCCAGATTAGGATTTGTTGCACTCAGTGGAGCAAGAGAATAGAGAGAAAAAAACATTTACAGAACAGGAAGAAATGAAAATAGGAAACGTTGAAGAGCTTGAAGTAAAGCAAAAAGCAACAAGAAAATTGCACTGGTTTTGAAAACCTGTTAACTTGCATGCAAAACAGTAATCATGGGCTGCATAAATCAGTGTGTCAGTGTGATTTAGGCACATATTTCAACTGCATTAAAGAAAAACTGCAGCTATGCTAAGTGCATTCTTACTTCTTTTTCCTTAACCTTTACTTTCCTGTATTTTACCTCAGTTAAGATTGTTGTTTCATATGAAGGTTGATATTTTTCTTTCTCTTGAGCCGTTCGCTTCTCCATTTTTTCTCTATCAGTTTTTTGTTTCCTGTCCGCACCTTTGGGCTAGAAAAATAGCAAAACTGAAATTCTGCAACCCAGAACTTTCCAGTAAAGAACTATTGCATTAATGATGCTTAAAAGAAATTCAAAATTGCACAAACATACCAGTTATATATGGTATATACTAGTACAAGGTTTGTGCCAAATTTAAACACTATTATGGTGCATGAACCAAACGCAGTAGATTCTAGTGAGGACACAGTAACTGACCTTTGCTGTAGGAAGGAAATAAAGTAGCCAGGATTTACGTTCTGACTTTTTGCCCTTTCAAAGCAAGCCTCTCATAAAAGAATAGTGATTTTTCTTAGCCATTATATACTCTTCTCCATAGACAAACATCCTAACAAAATTAATTCTAGACTTATTCATCAAAACTGGCATTACAGAGGGGTGTCAATGCTGACTAAATCAAAACACTCTGTGTAGACAGAATCAAGTGGAAGAAAATGTGAAGTTATTTTAAAATTTCACACTGTAGGAACAACAAATTGACATGCCTACATGCAAGTTTAAAGGACAATATAAAAAGGTTCAAATTTACACAGAACCGGAGGAGTGCCATCTTTGAGATGACCACCTGTGCAAGTTTTAGCATTATAAAGATGAAAAGGAACAAAGTAAAAACAAAGCTTTGACACTGGCTTAGAACTTCAGTAAGCTTCCACTTCTTAAGATATAAACACGACCATCAAATCGTGACTCAAACAACACAAAAAAAAGTGCACTTGGAAGAAAAAGTTTGTTTTCGTAGCAGATGTGCTAAAGTACACTGTTCAGGAAAAATGAATTAAAATGAAAAATATAAACCATTTTCCTGCTATGTAGTTTCAAGTACTGGTATGAAGCTTTCCAATGGCTCAGGTGTTTCAAGTTTGCAAGCATTTATTTTTACAATGACCACCAATTGACAAGTATACTCACTACCCATAGGGGGTTGCCAGAATATCAAATCACCAGCAGCATTATCATCTTCAAACTGCAGCACGGAAGGGCCACTTTGAACAAAACAAAATGCATCATACAGTACCTTGAAAACTTTAATTTGGCAGCTGGCTGAATGAAGGTGATCTGTATATTCTCCCGTTTCATTTTGCTTGAACGTGTCTATCTGAATCCTGAAGGGAACCCCCTTCTCACCCCCATGCTTTCTGGGAGTAAATTCTGTGCTAATGCAATGTACCTGCAAGAAAAATAAGTGTATCGTTTCTGGGATCAAAGGTGAATATGTTAACATTAAGTTGCAACAAGCTGCACAAAATATTTTATGAATTTTTATTTTAAGAGAATACATACAATAAAATGACTGAAATAAAACTATTGCACAGCTTTGTTTCAAGACCAACGATTCTATATTCTTTCAAAGCCAGGCAGATAATTATTTGGTTCACTGTAAAAGTAAACTCATAGAAGTGCACTTCGGTGTTTTGATAAGTTTAGATGGCCATTTCCAATTCTGTCCAGTTATACCCAATTCGCTGTTACACCATAATTTACACCAAGTAACAACTCTATCCTCTAAAGAGAACAAGCATCTCTACCAACCTGAATAAAAGCAGAGGTGCGTTTTGCTGGGTCCCATAGAAATTCGATTGTATTCAGTTGTGCTGGATTAGTCCTAGGGTCAATGATTCCAACAGACATTGGAATATCTGCATGTTTTAAAAGAAATATATTAACCAGTCACACCTCTAGCACAGACAATTATTAAAAGCAAAACCAAAAGTAACTGATGGCAGTGTTTAGCCATGCATTGCACAATACACAAACTGCGCCATCTAGCTCTCCAAATGATCAGGGCTAACATGCGAGAAGTAGACTTTGAAGTATAAATGTAACCTTCCCAAACTATATTGATGAATGTTATATTTTTTTATGATCAGACCATTCAGCCTTTTGGTAACTACCTGCACTTAAAATAAATTTTACAAGGAAATGTTGGGCCTTCCTAAATTGTTGAACTGCTCTTGGGGTTAAAACTACTTTATTCCCCCTTCTCAGCCTGCCACTGTTTCCGAAAAGAAAATTCTAACCACTGAACACAAGGTGACTTATTTGGACGAGTCTTGTATCTCCCAAGCTCTTTAAAAATTAATTACTGTCAAGTAGCACATTTTGGCTCTGTTCTAAGTTCATGTTTTCTTCCTCTCAGTATTTCTGTGTAATTTGAGTGACTGCCAAAGGCCCACTGTGCAACTACACCTTTCAAACCCACCACCAGTACCACAGATAGCCTTTCCTTCACTGTTGCAGGTCCAAATCTTGAAATTCCCTCCTTGACTGCACTGTGGGTGTAACTACACCAAATGGACTGCATTTTGTTCAAGGCGACAGCTTACCACTACTTTCTCAAGGGCAACTAGGGATAGGCAATAAATGCTGGCTCAGACAGTGCAGCCTACATCCCCCGAATTTAACAGAAAGGCCAGACAATACAATGAAGGTGAGCTGGGATTTGACAAAGGCACAAGGCGCAACATTATATCATCCGCATTACTGCAGCTGTTATGGTATGAACCAAGGAGATGCAGGCATTTTTATCCCCTGCTAGTTCTACCCTTCTACTGTGTAATACACTGGCCTGCAAGAGGGCAGAATGTCAAATTGAGCTGCACAGTTTGAACAATGAGAATCCCATGGTTGAAAAGCTAGAGGAATGAATGAAGCATCAATAGGCAAGTAAGGATGTCCTCGAGTATCTAGATGTTAGACACCAGTCCTGAATGCCAGGGAGAGCTGCTAGATGCACTGGAAGCATCTGAGGTTAATTTAGGGATTAATAGATAATGTGAAATTCTTAGCATTGTGTCTCAGTGAGGATTCTTCAATCTGATAGGTTGAGCAGATATTCAGTTATTTGCTCTTCAACATAGGAAAGTATAATACTAAGGATTATAAATGCATATGAAAATGTCAGTTTGAAGTAAGTGGCCAACTGCAAGGTTAAATTAACATTTCATGCCATTTATTCACTGCTGATCAAAATCCAGGCAAATATTTCACTTGAGTGATTCTGATCACGGATGATTCCAAAATAGGGTCAATTTCTGGAGTGCTGGAAGTCTTGTAATTATGGTAATTAATTTTTCTCTTCAATGGCTGACTTGAATTTTGCTTTAGTCTCTTAACTTTTTTTTTTAAGAAAAGAAAGCAAAGCAAAATACTGCTTTCGATATAGATATTTTGAGAAGACATTAGGAGGACAGGTTTAGAAAATAATACTGACATGACAGGAGGTCTGTTCATCTGAGGTACGTGCTTCGTTGTCACAGAAAAGTAGATTGATCACAAGATGAACTGTAATAACAGAAAAATGCTTCCAATTTCAAAGATCCATAGAATGATCCAAAACAGAAGATGGCCATGTGAATTATTGCACCTGTGCTAACCGTTTGATTAGTCTACAAATAATACCACTCATGTTTTTTAACCTATAAGCCTGCAAATTCTTTTCCTTGCAACTATTTGTCGTCTTAAAAAGTGCACCCAGATCAAAACACCTTACTGTGCATAAAAAAAAGTCACCACGGGACGCTTTGGCCAATCGTCTTAAATTTGAGATCTGGTTACTAATTAGAGCCATTAGAAATGATTGCATGTATTTATTCTAACAAAACGAGTCACAATTTGAACAAATTTACAAAGCTCTTTGCACCCTACTGTGTTTTAAAGGGGAACAAGCTCTTAACTGAAGTCCTAATTTCTGGCACTACTTCTGTAAATCACTTCTAGCATGCTCACCAAGATCTTGATTACCTTCTTGAAATATGATGCTCAGAAAAGAACATAATATTCCAGATAAGACTTAACAAAATTGTTTTATTAACAATTAGCCTAATTTTAATGCTTCTGTACTTATTCCTCTATCAAAGCCAAGGATCCCTCAAGCTTACCTCATAGGCTTTTCAAACAGTCCTGCCACCTTCAAAGATTTCTGTACATAGACCAGTGTTCCTGAGCCACCTGCACTTCTTTAAAAATCTTACTAAAACATATCAATTGGCCATTCTCTGCTCTTCATTTACTGCGTGTCAGCCCATTTTGCTGAAGTCTCCTACAATTTTACTATAGTTTCACCATCCACATCTCCAATTTTCAAAATACGAAGATGGATTTCTGAGTTCAGTTAACAGTATGTAATACAGCAAGTACCCCTAACATAAACTCAGCTGTTTCACTTTAACATAATTAAAAATGAAAGACAGAAGATAGGAGTAGGCAATTCTGCCCATGAAGCCTGCTGCATCATTCAAAATGATCACAGCTGATCCACTATCTCAATGTCATAATTCTCAAAACCTACAAATCACTTTCTTAAATGCATTAGGTCATCTGTGACCTCCACAGCCTTCCATGGAGGAAACTTCCTCAGATTCCACATTCTCTAACTGAAGAAATTTGTCTTCACCCCAGTCCAGGATGGCTGAGCCAATAGCGTGTTGCCTTGTTCTGGACCAACCCCTGGACAGGAGAAACATAGTCTCTGCCTCACAACCTAACTGTGAAGAAACCTTAGATAATCATTTTCCACCGTTAAGCATCACAAACTGCACAAATTCCTTATTAGACTAAAGTGCCCAATTTGCCTGACTGACTGCTATTCAAACCAAAACTAATTTGCACCAGTTCACATCATTAACAGGAAATAACTATTTAGTGTAACACACAACTTAAAGAACAGCAGAGAAAAGAAAGGACTCCTGGTCCACACCTAAGCATCTTAAACTATACCTCTAAAAAAAAACAAAAACCTTAACTAAACTTAAAGCCACAACAGACAAAGATTAAATTTGCTATATATCACATTATTTAAATTAGAACCTGACAACAGGAATCATCTAGCAAACTTTTTTCAAAACCTCTTAAAAACTCAAATACATACACTCAAAACAATTAAGACATATGAAAGACAACACTGTCTGACACACATTATGGGTGGAAAAAAGAATAGACGGGGAACAAAATTTCAAAATACCAAAGTTCAGATCACAAGGTTGGGCTAAATTGTCTCTCAGTTCCTTTTGATTTTTAGCACTGGTTACATGCTGTTGGACATAAAGGAATGGTTGGACTTCACGCTGATAGGTGAATCTAGGTCTTTTCTTATCAGAATTCATAAGCTTTGAAAAAATTTCCCTTGCCCCTGTGGTCACTCAATGTTTTCATGTGCCGATTCAAATGAGTCTCATTGCAACTTACAGAATACAGAGAGGCCTGGATAGAATGGATATGGAGATGATGTATTCACCAGTAGGAGAGATGAGGATGCAAGGGCACAGCCTCAGAGTGAAGGGACAACTCTTTAGAACTGCAGTGAGGAACTTCTTCAGCCAGCAGGTGGTTAATCTGAGGAATCCAATGCCACAGGACAGAGTCGAGGCCAAGTCATTGAGCGTAGTTAAGACTAAGTAAAGGGATCAAGGACTTCGGGGGGAAGGCAGGAGAATGGAGTTGAGAAACGTACCAGCCATGATCAAATTGGGGAACAGACTCAGGTGGGCCGAATGGCTTAATTCTGCTCCTATATCTTATGGTCTAAGACTGCTGCAGCTGCTACAGAACTGCACATACACTTTTTTGCCACTAGGTAGAGCCAAATTGAATCCAACTGAGTATACACCTTGTTATCAAAGAATTAGAGCTGGATGAACACAGCAGGCCAAGCAGCATCATTGGAACAGGAAGGCTGACGTTTCGGGCCTAGACCCT